TTTTCACTCAGTTCAATGGGCGGTGACCACGCACACCCACCCAGGGCACACGAAGCTCACGCGGACCATGGGGGGTGGGCTCGGGCAGGCGAGGCGGGGCCGGGGAAGCGGGGTGCAGGCCCAGCTGCAAACAGCTGGCGCGGGCCCCTCCTGGCTGTGGGCCCCGCCACAGTGTCCAGCAGAAAATGAGAGATTTTAGCCACCAGGGCCTGAGGGCGCCCTGTGGGCTCCAGCACCATCCTGCTCAGCTCTGTGTTTCTCAAAACGTGCCCCTGCCCTCCCCCCGAAACGGCAGGACAGGGTGCACCTGGAGGCCAGGCCGCCACAGGGCTAATCAGTCACCGTGCGGTCAGGCACGGCCCGGACGGCCGGCCTCCTAATGGAGGACTTGGAACTCTTCCCGGGGCCCCTCAGTTTGGTTCCAGGATGAGCCCCGAGGAGGCAGGAGGGAGGGGGGCAGGTGAGAGCATGGGGGGCCGTGGTCAGCTGACCGCCCGCTCGGGGCACAGCTTCATTTCCTCCCGGGCGCCCATAAAAAATCATGCGAGAAAGAGACAGGAAATGACAAGGGGTCTTGTTTGCTGATCAAAGGCAGCGCGAGGTGGGAGGAGGCCGCCTGCCAGCGTGTTATTAGCTCCGCTCGGGCCTGTTTAACGGCCCCTCGCTCCCCCGCTCTCCATCCGCTGACGGCCGGCTCTTATCTCCCCCAGGCCCCAGACAGGATATTGCAGCTCTTATCTGAGCGCTGAGCGTGGTCGCCAGGCAGGACGAGTCCTGGGATGGGGGAGGCCGACCCCGGGGCCGGGCGCGAGATCCTGTTTGCGCTGATAGAACCCAGCTGGCGGGCCGTCGCCACGGGGGTGTGACAGGGAGGCACCCCGTGAAAGGCGAAACCCCGAGTTCATGGGGCAGAGAAGGGAGTCGCAGGAAAAGGTCTGAAACCCTAAACCTGGTGGTGAGAAAGGACCAGGCCCGGGGGAGGCCCCCAGAACCCCCAACGCCTGCCCTGCCTCCCTGGCGCTGGGGGAAGCCGGGCCTGGGGAGGGGTGGGTGCCACCCACCATGTAAGGTGTTTATTCTTCACTTCCCAGCACCCAGCAAAGCTGGCGTCAGCACCCCGCCATTAGAGCCTCGGCACCCCGTCTTCACAGGCACCTTGGTGCCCCCGTGCCCGCCCGGGGACTGACCTCAGCCCTCGCACGCACGCAGTGGTCAAGGCATCATTCCTGAGTGAAGGAGGGACTCAGGGGTGGACGTGATGGCCACGTACGCCCGTGCTACTTCCCGCGGCACGAACAGGACGGCTGCTTTGGAAGCCGGGGACTTGGTATTCTGCTGTCCTGGCCTGAGGGCACGATCAGGCCCGACTGGAAATTAGAAAATCGATGGGCACGTGCCATGAGAGCGAGACCGGCCCCGAGGCCTGGCGACAGTTACTCAGCGTCTGATGCTCGCCCAGCGCTGACTGCCAGGCGCGGTCCGCCCGTTACATGCGACTAACTCCTCTGACCCCGACAACACCCCTCGGAGCCTGGCTCGGGAGTGGGGAGAGGGTGAGGGAGGGGAGCTGGGTCCAAGCGGGCGCCTCCTGCCCTCACCCCTGCGCCCGTGCACGGCGAGGCCGCCGAAGCCCTGCCTCTGAGCACAGAGCGGATGCCGTGGCTCCTCTGCCCCCTCTCCTCCCCGACACACCGCCCCAGTCCCGCTCCTGACACCTGGGTCGTGGCGGGAGAAACTTCCTGCCCGTGAGCTGCCCACAGGCTGAGAGGCCTCAGGCTGGATTCTGGTCGAGGGCAGGCACCTCGGTTGCCGGTTGCCGGCTCGATTCCCGGCCCCAGTCGGGGCACGTGTAGGAGGCAGCCAATCGATGTGTCTCTCTCACATATAGGGTGTCCCAAAATTCACGCAAGATTTGAATTTTATGCGAACATTAACAACAACAACAACAAATAAAAGCCTAATTTTACTTGATTTATTGAATCAGATTCTAATATCTGTTGCCCTTTGATTTCAATCCCTTCAATTGGATGAGCATGACCAAGTACCAATGATGGCCCAGGAGCAGGGACAATGAAGACCACGGCTTTGCGTATGTGCCAGCAAAGCCGTGGAGGCCATTTACCCGATGCGCTATTCCATACATAACCCTATACTGTATACTTTATGAATCAATAAAAAATTTGCAATTTTAATTATAAACCTGTGTTTTCTATCAAAATTACTTCTTGCGTGAATTTTGGGACACCCTATAGATTGTTTCTCTGTCTCACTCTCTCCTCCTCTCTTCCACTTTCTCTAAAAATCAATGGAAACATGTCCTCAGGGGAGGATTAACAAAGAACATAAAATAAAGTAGCCCATCAGCCTGGCCGGCGTGGCTCAGTGGTTGAGTGTTGACCTAGGAACCAGGAGGTCAGGGTTCGATTCCCGGTCAGGGCACACTCCCGGGTTGTGGGCTCCATCCCCATGAGGGGCGTGTAGGAGGCAGCCGATGCATGATTCTCTCTGATCATTGATGTTTCTCTCTCTCCCTCACCCGTCCTCTCTGACATCAATAAAAGTACATTTTTTAAAGTGGCCTCTGTAGGGAGCACACCTACCTCCACGCCGTCCAGGAAGTGCCGGAACTCGGGGCAGATGAAGGCGCTGCCCGCGTAGGCCGCGTCCACGTGCAGCCACAGGTCCTCCCAGTTACCTGAAAACCAGAGCGATGAGTGAGCTCACAAATGGGAGCCCTTCTCATGTGGGGGGCGTGTGGGGCAGGCGTGGGGCCGCGTGGGGTCTGGCCGCTGACTCGTCCCAGCCCACAGCCCATCACTTGCCGGTTTTGGGATCCTGGGAGCCCCTCCCCTCGAAGGCAGGGAAGCAGAGGGCAGGGACCTGCATGTGCCTGGCACAGACCGGGGCTCAGCGCGTGCGCGGAAAGTGTGGGAAGATGGACGCGATGGCCCCTGGCCTCCAGGTGGACCCTGAGGCTCTATGAGGAAACCTGGAGTCCCCAGGTGGGGGCGGAGGGGAGATGGCCCGTAACACAGGCCCTCCTCTGGGGAACCGCGCTCTGGGCATTGCCCTGCTAATCACTTTAAGGACTGCTTAGCCATGGCCAGGAGTCTCGGGAAGCGGGAAGAGACACGGGAAGACTGCTCAAGGGCTGATGGTTCTCAGTCCGCAGGTACACGGCCCTCCCGCCGGGCGCGCACGAGAGCGGGGCGGGGAATTCTCGTGGGGGCAGCCTGGCCGTGGTGGCCTCTAAGAAATGATGTGTGTGGGACAGCTCGGCCGCACTGTGCGGGCAGCCCCCGTTCGGAGTTTGCGGAGGGAGCTCAAGCTAATGCGGTTTTGGGTCGTGGCAAATACAAAGCATTTTGGCCGCAGCCGGTGTGGCTCCGTGGGTAGAGCATCGGCCTGTGGACCAAAGGGTCCTGGGCTCGATCCCGGTCAGGGGCACGTACCTTGGTTGCAGGCTCCTCAGGCCCTGGCCCAGGTCGGAGGCAACCAATCGATGTGTCTCCCTCACATCGATGCCTCTGTCTGTCTCCCCGCCTCCCTTCCACTCTCCCTAAAAATCCATGGGAAAATATCCTCGGGTGAGGATTCACCACAGCAACAACATACAAAGCGTTTGCAAGCCTTCCCAGCGTGAAGCAGCGCTATGCTGGGGTCCACTTTATTGTGCCAGGCAGCGGTTCTCAACCTGTGGGTCGCGACCCCTTTGGCGGTCGAACGACCCTTTCCCAGGGGTCGCCTAAGACCATCCTGATATCAGATATTGACATGACGACGCATCACAGTAGCCACATGAGAGTCGTGAAGTAGCAACGACAATAATTTCATGGTTGGGTCACAACGTGAGGAACGGTATTTAAAGGGCCAGCAGGCTGAGAACCGCTGGTGTAAGGAGATGCTGTTTGTTCTGATGTCAGTCACACTCTGGAGGGAGCCCTGAAGGTCTGTGGACCCCCACACCCCCTGGGAGCCCTGCGGAGGAAGGGAGGGAGGGTGGTACTCACAGAGCGGGCCCACTTCAGAGAGGCAGTCGAAGGAGCAGCAGGGCGTGGTCCCCAGGGTGGCCACCACCTGGGCATAGAAAGCAGACGACCTTTCCAGGCCCCACCCGGTCACTGCCACACCCCTTGCCCCACGGCCCAGCGCCCGGGACCCTCCGCCGGGGAGACGCGGGTCTGAGGCACGGAGGTCTTCACCGAAGCGACAGCACACGAACCCCGTGGGGAGGAACAGCTGGGAGCCGGGCTGAGGCTAGAGACCCACAGGGTCCCCGCGGTGCCGGGGGCAGGAGTGAGCCCCCCCCCGCTGCCTGTGCCCCTGCCTCTGCTCTCACACGTCACTACCAGGTACACCGGGGTGTCCTCCCTTCGGCTTCTCCTCAGCTCGGTGTGTGCGTGTGTATGTGTCTCTGTGAGTGTAAATGTGCGTATCTGTGTGTGTCCATGTGTGTGTCTGTGTGTGTGTTTGCATCTGTGTGTATGTCTGCATGTGTGTTTCTATGTGTATGCACATGTGTGTATGTCTGTGTGTATCTCTGTGTGTGTGTGTGTGGGTGGGTGGGTGGTCTGTGTATCTGTGTGTGTGTGTGTGTGTGTGTGTGTGTGTGTGCCACGCACCCACCATGGTCCCCATGCACAGGCGGCGCTCCCTGGGGACCCAGCAGGGCGCAGGTCCCTGTCTATCTCTGTGCGGGGCTGGGAACCTCACGCAGCGGGACACGGGCCAGGTGCTGCCTCCGTCTCTTGGACGGTAGACACCGTGCTGCGCTACGGAAGGCAGTCCTGTCTGCACACAGCGTCGCGTGGAGCAGAGCCCGGCCGGCCGGCGCTCCCACGCGGTCCGTGGAAGAAATCCTCCTTAGGGGGGACAGGGTGGGGCCCAGGCCAGTGGCCTTCGCTGAGGGAGGTCGGAAACCCAGGTCGGACCCTGAGGCCTGGGGCAGCCCCACGACCCCTGTCTGAGGCTGAACGCCGAGTGCCCCTCGGAGCGGAGGCAGCGCCTGGCAGCCCTGGGCTCG